AGTTGAGCGAACGGGTACGGGCGAAATTGAGATAAGGATGAGTGAACACTTAAAAGAAGCTAGGTAAAAACAGTGGAACACTGGGGGATCGTGCCACCGAAATGCGGCGACACCGGAGCACTAACTCAATGACTAATACTGTCTCTTATATTTCTTCTGTAATGGGTAGAGCTTTTATAGAGCGGGCTATGAGCAGTGCTCAGAGAGAGGTTCTAAAAGTTTCTCAGCTAGTACAATCTGATAGAGCAAGTTGCGCAGAAGGTTGGTGAAGTCTATACAATAGCTTATACAGAAAGTGTATGTGAAATCGCGCAGCTGCTCGTACGGAAGGTTCAACCGAAAAGCAACACAAAGGCTTATATAAAAAGTTCAAATGAAAGCGATGGAATAGGTTGTACAAAGGCTTTCACAGAAAGTAAATGTGCAAACGGTACAAAGGCTTACACAGAGTATTTACGTGAAAGCAGTACGAAGCATAGAAGGCAACGATAGACGTGGCCAGAAGTAAGCATAGCTAACATGCGTAGTGTGCGGTAATATAGAAAATAGGGACTATTTGAGGAATAGTTGTTATAATCTTAGAAAATCGAAGAGGATGCTCTTTGTAACGAGTGGTGGATATTAGGATTCTTTAGAGAATTCACCAGCATTTCGAGAATATTACGCTTACATTGGTGTTGTGGTATACATGAAGCTTTCAAGCTTGTACTGTTCGACAAATACTTTTCCAAAGACTAACTAGAGACAAGCATGCCTTCTACCAGCTTACTCAAGTCTACACTTCCGAAGCAATTTGTGGTGTCCTACTCTACATATTGAACTGAATTGTGGTTTTTGACACAGGAGTGACTAAGTAATCTGTATTTACATACATATTTACCCTGTTTCTTTGTTTGGTTATGGAGGCGTCTGGCCGAGTGGATTGCTATCAACTTGACCTTTCCAGGCTCTGAGGAAGGCGAAATCCGCCGAAACGTCAGCTTAATCGTGAACAAAGAATAATAACACCTCGCGTTTGCTCAACAAAAATACGAAGAAAATCACTTGATCAATGCCGAGGTTAATAGAAAGTCGGTCGTGGCAGTTAAGTAATCTGTATTTACATAAGCTCGCGTGTGGCGCAGTGGTCGGAGGTGCCCTGCAACGCACACGTGGAATCGATCCTCGCGTCCACGGCCCACTAAGCTTTCTGTTCCTCCGCGGCCGGCAAATTGGCACCAGACTTGTCTGAGAGGATAGCAGCACTGGTTTGATTCATCGGTAGGCCACCGCGAGTCATTGTAAAGGCCAGATATGCATCCAATCACGTCCAAACGATGCTTAATGAAGTCGGCGCATCCCTCAGGGATTGATCAACGCCGAGAGCTTTATCCTTTTTTATACAAGCTTAAATAAGTATCCAGAAATTCTACTTATGCTTTTCAATGACTGCTCGGAAGGGGTCCATTACATCGTTTTTCAACGATCTGCCGAAGAATTCTAGTCGTAAGACGGCAAAAATCCCTTCAGTCTACAAGAACGAAGGCTGCGTATGGCGAATGTAGAAACACTGTGTCACTGCTACCAGGTAAAATCTATACTCGTCCAAAATTCAGCATACCAGCAAAGAAAGAATATATATCTTTATTTTAACCAGACCCATATACGAATCCAATCACATCCTTACTTAGTGGTTCGATCTGATTGTGATCTCGTTTCAAATTATTATCGTATTTCAGAGAGCACGTGTAGTGCTATGGTCGGAGGAGCCCTGCAACACACACGTGGAATCGATCCCCCCGCCCACCATGACCCACCAGGTCCTCGATCCCTCCGGAACCGACAAATTGGGGCCAGATTTGTCTGGGAGGATAGCAGCACTGGCTCGATACATCGGTAGGCTACCGCGAGGCATTGTAAAGGCCAGATATGCATCCAATCACCTCCAAGCGATGCTTAATGAAGTCTAATGCATAGCGCATCTCTCAGGGATTGATCAACGCCAACAGCTCTATCCTTTTACCCTTTTATCGCATTTCAAATGTCACTGATTTCACTCTCCACTAATCCACGTTCGCATGGAAAGCCTTGTCTTCTACTGGGGAACGCTTCCTGATTATTGTCATTTCACTGGAACAAATAATTGGAATAAAAGATTGACCACCAACAGCAATTACAATGTACTTTTTCTCATAAATTCGATATTCGCTAAAGAAACAAATAAAAGGCTTTCCATACACGACAAATCCTGTTTGACTTGCATTGTTTCCTATGAAACATGGTTCTAATGATAAATAAGCTTGAGTTTCGACTATTTCCTTTAGAGGAATCTGAATTCGAAAAGTCCTTTTATTATCTTTAATTTTCATAGGGTGCTTAATATTACTCCTCGGTGTTTCTATCTCTGGGATAGCAACGTGCGGCATGAGTTCATCTGCCATCGCTGGCAAGTTGACGAATTCGACTATATGCGAAAGCCCAGTTAAGTATAACCCTATAGACAGAACTAGGCGAGCTAACTGTTTTTTTGTTAAAAATAGTGGTAATAAACTATTTTAAAGAAAAATCGTTATTTTGTTCGCTTCTCTCTATCGAGTAGAGACCATTGGGCAGTTCTGGTGCGCACTCGACTTACCCGATTAGTAAGCCGAACAGGACAAGTTAAGTTGTATTAACACAATCTCGGCGGCATCTGTTCACTTCAGTGCATGCCTCCACCAGGATATTTGAAAAAAATAATGGTTGATATCGCCGTTATGAGTTGCAGGAAGCTATTATGTAAAAAATAGTCGTGGCTTACAGTGTGGATTAAATTCGCTCCATTCCTTTTTGTTGCCCAACTATTTCGTGCAGTACTTTCCTCAGTACTTAACTTGCAAGGTTGGTTTTAACAAGGTTGAAACGATGTCTCTAACATTTCAAGTTTTACTCAATGAGTTAAAGTGTGAGCGTGCAGTTATTGTTGATCACTCTCTGAGGGATGCGCCGTGCATTCGACTTCATTAAGCATCGTTTGGAGGTGATTGAATGCATATCTGGCCTTCACAATGATTCACGGTGGCCTACCAATGTATCGCACCAGTGGTGGTGTCCACCCAGACAAGTCTGGTACCACTTTACTGACCCGGAAGGGATGGAGGGCTTGGCGAGCCACGGGCGCGGGGATCCATATCATGTGTCGCACGGTGCATCCTACCACCGCTTCAGACGCCCTTCCTTAGTGGATGTTACGACAATTTATGTCACGGAGATGTGGGCCTCAATGACGAAGATATTCATAGGAAGCTACCAGCACTTGACGACGACCACCCGGGCGGTAAATGAACACTGTTGATCGTCTAAAAACTACCCGAGAGTTTACAGGATTCGGAATTAGTCGATCAACAATTGTTCCTGGTATTTAAGACAATGAAGAGATCTCCTCAGTGCTTCTTTTGCTTGACAAAAACAACTCATTTCTTGACCGAATTGTGGTGCACGTTGGAAAGTCGTATACATACGATAGCCAACGTTGTCCGCAATAGTTGATGTGCTCTTAAAAATTTTCTAAACACATTCGAAGTCCGAATTTGAAGAAAGTTGGAGAAAGTATGATAACAAAGGAATGCTATGCATCTCCATCCACCAAAACTTTCCCAATCCTGGAAAAACGATTACAACATAAGAGTACTCTACAAGAAACTGATGAAATTCGTCGAAAATTTCATCGAATTTATCCAAGTGGTCGATCGGTCACTGTACACGCTAAGAAACTGAAAAATTGGGGAAATAAACTCTGCCAGGAATCTTCATTGAACCTCTCGTCGGTCGACACCACTTTCTTCACTTCGAAACATCCAAAAAAGAATTTAAACAAGTTGTCTTGGTAGTGAAAAGCCTCTAAAAAGTTTTTACTCTCAGAACTTTAGAATCCTAGGAAACAAAGTGACTTCGTTCTTGTTGGAGAAATACAAGGACTTTAATGGTTCTGAGCAATGAAATTGTTTTTGAGCAGTGTTATTGCTTCTGAAAGTTGTCGTTCAAATTCATTAAGTCCGCCTGAGGAAGGAGACCTTTTCCTTCGTCCATTAAAAAGTGGTAAAGAGAAACAATTGAGACTATTGCGAAAGTGTGGATATATACCAAAATGGTTACAGAAGATGAACGAGAACATGGATATGAACATACAACGAGAAGGAACTGGATAATGAGGATAGTCCTCACGAAGGAGAGAACGGGGAGGGAAAAAGGAGAAGCAGGAGCACGGAGAAAAGAAAATGGAAGGAAAAGGTAAAAGAAAGGAAGTGGAGAGAACGTGGAAAGGCAGGAGAAAGAACGAGAGTCATGGAGAGACAGGCAAAGAGAGAGAGAGGGAAAGGGAGAAAGGAAGCGCGAATAAATGAAGAACAGAGTAAAGACAAAAATCAGGGGAAGAGATAAGTCGATAGAAAGAGTCAATTAAAAGATCATAATACCAGTCGCTCAATGGATTAATGGTTACTTTGTAGTTTGAGAGTTCGTTTAGAGAAATCGACTTCGAACAGAGAAACGGAAGAAAGCTTTTCACGTTTTTTTTTTTGTGAAATTCTCTGTTAACGACCGAAATACCTAAGCATTTACTTGACTGTTTACAGTTGGATGTTTAACCTTCGCGAAGCTCCAACAAGATTTGCATTCATTGCTTAAATTATTAGTTGGGCAAAAGTTAGGCTAAGGCTTCTGCAGGTCACAGTACCTGCCCACAGGTCAACATATTGTTACCAGAACTGCAATGGTTTTTTGAACTGATTCACACTCAGGTGGACTTTCGGTTAAAGATTAAAGATAAAGAAGATAAAGATTCGTTTTTCTCTCAATTTGGGAGACCCTTCCGAGGAAGCCGAGAAACCAGGTTGGACATGACCACACCGAAGAACACCCAATAATTGCGATGAAGAAGCAAACCACAAAACGGAGTCAGTGGTTAGATAAATAAGTGGAAAAAAGGAAGGAAAATCGTACCAAAACGAGTCGCACGAAAGATTTTGAGTACCTCGCTATATTCAGTTAATATTTACCTTCGTACAACGATTGTAGTCGAATTGCCGTCGAAGTGGATCGCAAATAACTTTGGGAAGATTGAACAAGTGCATGCATCTGTGGAAATAATCATGTAGAAGTGTAACGGCTTACTTTTCAGAGGAGTACAAAAGAAAACGGAAAAATTCTTGCCAATGTTAAGTTCTTCTTTTTGAAACCTTAGAGACCCTAAGTAAGCCATTCGCGACTTTTTAGCACAGCATATTGTGATAGATGAAAGAAACTCGACGTATAAATATGACTGCATCCGAATAAGCCATTTAGTAAATAAATAGGTGAGGAACGCGTAAATAAGTGTCTAGAGAACGAATTTGTACAAACTGTTCACACTTGTAATGAATTTTAACCGCTGCCTCCATTAACGTGACCAGCTCGGTGGCTTTGCGTCGTCGTTCCTTTTCGTCACAGAAGAGTTCATACCGCTGGCACCATACGGCAGTATTGTAACCAAATCTTGAATGAAAAACATTCTTGAGCAATTGGCTTAAACCAAAAAAGATAGGGATGGTAAAAAGCAATGATGAGATAGAAAACGAATGTCTGTTTTATAGAACAATGCATTAAAGAGATGAGAACGATATAAATAGTTTATCTTCAAAATATCAGAAGTGATTTTCTAACGCAGGACAACGAACGATATCTGTATCATTTTATGAAGTGGAGTGAAAATCTTCCAGGAAAGTTGTTTATGCAAGAAAAATTAAGGTGGCTCGTCGCCATATTCATATTGAAAACCTCGTGAGCCATATATGACTCATACGTGGTTATAATTTATTCATCCTTTCCATCTCCAACAAATATGCCTTGGTTTATAGTGAACTTTATTAATAAAAAAGAAAACCACTGAAACCTAAAGATATTGGAGAAGACAATATTCTATACTTGCTATTCATCCGGGATGAATTATCGATTGCCCATAAGGATTTTTTACCGAGGCTCCTATTCTGGAGGCGATGAGAATGAATAGGCCAGAATCTCGTCTAGAAAGATGTGGTAGTATACGCGAATTTTATTTGCGATAATTATCATACGTACGTACCATTGCTTAAAAAGTATTTGACGCATTAACTTCCAATACGAGTATTAAACGTATTTGGAGTAAAAATAATATCTTAGAAAAAAATGTTAATGTTAAATGTTAAACTCTAGCTGTCTAGGCTCTAGTTGTCGAGCAATTGTGCGCGGTTATCGAAAAAAGCCGGTATGCGTGCAGAGCAGTGGTTATGGGTCCCATGCAATTGTCATGGGGAACGATCCAGTACCTCAGGCTCACCGAAGCCTCTACATTCCTGGGATCGGAAAACTGGTACCAGACTTATCTGGAAGGATAGCAGCACTGGTTCGATACATCGGTAAGCCGCCGCAAGCCATTGTCCAGGCCAAGTATGCATTCAATCATCTGTAACGATGCTTGATGAAGTGGAATGCACGGCGCATCCCTCCGGGATTGATAAACGCAGTGAGCTTTACCGTTCCATCGTTTTTTCGAAAAAATTGTACACCTGTGACTGGCCACATAAGATATTAAATTTCGCTGGTTTGGAGCGAAAGAATGCTGGTTTTCATTTTCTACAAACCTATTACCGTTGTGTTTTGCTTTCTTCATGGTTCAGTTCTTTTTTTCTGCACATTTAGTAACGAAATGCAAACTGAAGCAGAATGGATTATTGTTAAATCATCAGCATACAGTAATTTGGAGTTCTAACACTAAGTACTTACATGCAAATTTCTACGTTGTCTATATGTGGGTTAGTTTCGCTCCATTGCAGCCAAAGTAAGTTTTATAAAGTAAAAAAAGCTCTCGGCGTTGATCAATTCTTGAGTAATGTGCCACACATTCGACTTCATTAAGCATCGTTTGGAGGTGATTGCATATCTGGCCTTTACAATAACTCACGGTGGCTATCGAAATATCGAGCCAGTGCTGCTACCCTCCCATACAAGTACGGTACCAATTTGCCGACCCCGGAGGGACGGAACGCTTGGTGAGCCATGAGCGCGGGGGTCGATTCCACGTGTGTGTTACAGGGCGCCTCCGACCACTACGCCACACGCGCCCACACGACGGAAGTTTTATAGCTTTCAAAAATGAGAAAGGTACAAATTAAGACACAAGTGCAGAGTCGTGCTAATCTCTTGATAAGAAGAGATGAATCACACGAAAATGGAACAAATTCAGCAAACCATTTAGTCCGTGTTTGGCAAAATTTCAATAAACTCTCATGCATAACCAAGAAATGCCTATGATGATGCGTTGCATCAGCAGAAAAACGATGGGAGATGCTCTCTTACCTTCTCCAGACGCATTGATAAGGCTCACAGTAGCAGGAGAGATCGTAGTCGCACGATTTGCACTTACTCCTTATCGTTCTCGTGCAGTAATTTTTGTAACGATTGAACTCCACTACACACCAGTCATCGGACGGATAGGTAACCATTGAGCACTGATGCTGAAACCACAATGTTTTAGCTTTATTTACTGGCCACTCTTTTTTGATGGCAAGACATTCTGTGGAATACAACCACAAGGATGCTGAAACGTGAGCAAAACTTGGAACTTCAGATTCGCTTCGAACTCGCGAATACCCTTTCCGGGAGCACATGGGTTATGCACTGCATCAAGCACTGCCCTTGTTTTGCTTTTTCCTAAGTAGTTTTCTTTACTCTAACATTATTACCAACAATCAAAACAAATAACTGGTTTTGAGAAAGGCAAAACAAGGGCTTGGGCTGGTACAGTGGATAACGAGTGAGTTCCCAGGAGAAGCAATCGCGGGTTCGAAGCGCACCAGAGATTCATAGTTTTACTCATGGCTTGGCATTCTCTGAGTTGAAATCGTTTATTAGGCACTGAGAGAACAAGCTATACGCGATCTCGATCGTCCGCAACTAGGAACAGCGGTTTTTAGTGGCTCGCATTTCCCTTTTTTCTACACGTATGTTAATTTCGGCACATACAAGTATTCACCTGACAATATGTTAATTTCAATGCTAGCTTTTCATTTACCTTCTCTTATTATTTGTAACGGCAGGGTGGACTCCCTGTTTCTGCTGCGCCGACTTGGCACATACGTTCTGTATTTACGAGGATGTATTCATGCATATTGGCATCGGGTGTATTAAACGACATATGAACACTGCTGCCCGCTCTTCATAAATTCTATATAAGCTTGGGAAACTTCGAATGTGACTTCAAAGCAGTAATCAATAGTGTAGAGGAATAGTAAACAAATAAGAAAACATGCAACGAGTAATGTCGGTAGAAATGTCAACATAGTGAAAAAAAAAGTGGAAGGAAGAGAAACAAAGACATACAGCGTGAGCAGACTTGCAATCATCTCTGAAGGTAAACAAGCACTCAGAAAACTACTTTGAAGGGGTTCGTTTACTTAAACCATTGTTATGAGTTACGCCGTATAGCTTGAATTTAGAGATTTTGCAACTTTCGTTGCAATTACAATATGAATGAATGGAGTGCGTTAATCAAAGAATTCTACGATCAAGGCGACCTCGCTCTTTACTATCGATGCTTCGACATGTTTGGAGTGTGGACTAAAACACTTGTAGAGAAAATAAAAATTTATTTAGTATGGCACCGTTTGGTAGAAAACTAGCCGAGGGAAGGGTGTAGCAAGGGCCTCAGTGGTGCAATGAGTAAAATGTGAGTCCCCAGAAAGTGTCCACGGGTTCGATTTCGACTGGGGTCCATGTTTTGCGAAAGTCAGCTGCATCATTGTGGTTGTATTTAGTATCATGCCCTGCTGCGAAAAATAATAATAAGCAGTAAAAAAAGTTAACATTGTTATTTGGACTACAGCTTCAGCTTAACTGGGTTCAATGCCGATTTGTACTCCCCAGATCATTCTCGATTATGGATTGATGATGCAACTGTCAGTTAGAAAGCTTGCAGAGAGCAAAGCAAAGCAATGGCTTCCGTAGTGGTGTAGGTAACAAGTTAGCGCCCGGAAAAGGTAAATTCGCGTTCGATCTACCCTGCGGTGCAAGTTTTGCAGATATCTTAACGTCATAGTGGTTACTTAGTATCGTTGTAAAACGATCAATGAGGAAAGACAACGAATGCTGTGAATTCCCACAGTGGCACAGGCGTACAGAGTACACTCTGCGTTACTTCTGTCATAAGGGAGAGATGTACTGTAGTATACGACTTGCATTGTATTTTTGATGTAAACAGATTTATGACGAAATAAATCAAGATTTCTCCAGACCAGTAATAACATCAATATTTAGTTATATAAATATATCTGATAGAAGCGAAATACTGTAATACCTTAAATGCGAAACAAAACGGTACGAGATGTAGTGGAGGCGTGTCATCGGCACAAGCTAGCGCATACGCATCGAGTTGTCCGTAACAAATCCGATCACGCATCAGTTCATTCCTAAAAGCCATCTGTTTTTAATTTTCTTAAAAAGACCAATTTCCCCTTTCAACCAGTGATTTTCTCACTTCTCCATCTTCAAAAACGTTTTGTTTTAGGAAAATGGAATCTATCAAGTTGAATAAGGTCGATGGAACCACTAGTGTATGCCCTCTTTCTAGAAAGATATTCTATTATCCAAAAATCTGAATGTAAATCTATGCACAAATTTTCACGTATCGACGTTCTTCCTTGTGGGAAATTTGGATCGTACGCATCCGTTTGACCATAAGGCCACGGAGAAACAACAAGGTAGTAGATCGGGAGTGGTTTGATGTCCTATCCATTAAGTCCGGTGTTTACTTTTGAAAAGACTGGCAAGTCGCACGTGAGTATATCCAACACCTATGATAGTACCAACTATCCGGTAGGCTATGGTTAAAAACAGTACTACCGAATGGTTTCATTTGAAATGTATGATTTTGTGGATCTTTTTTCTCTGAAAAAGGGACTATCAAGAGACAACATCTTGCCAAAGTTGTTTAGTGCCACAACGTAGTGAATTATGAAATCACTTGACAGTGGCGACAGCAGCATGTGCTTGATGACAACTTCCTGTCAAGCACTTATTTTGTTGACGATATTGTCATGTTTTCAAAGAGTAACAACGGATTATAGACGGTGATGAATGAGGTTAACGAAGCGTGGCAAAGAATAGAACGGCACATAAGTCGGGTAGTAAATGAGTAGCTCTGCTTCGCAAAATAGACAGAGACACTAGCAATGGAAACACGAATCATCTCGACGACGAGAGAGATTAAAGGCAAGAGAGTTGCGCTGATAGGTTCTATTCTGATTAGTTTAAGGAAGAACCACAGAACCGGAACGTACTTACCTTGGATTGCAGAAAAAGTTAAGTTCCTCAGGAAATCTATTTGCAATTACTAGAAGTTCCTTTTCGTAATGCTCATCATCATCATTTGAGTCGTCCTCCTTCTCATTCACCCTTTCTTCGTCTAAAAGTGGATCGCAAGTCAATGAATCCAATGAATTTAAGGAGATCTAAAATCAAAATTTGGCGCATTAAATCATAATGAACTGAAACTTTCGTCAGGAAGCTACTGTTACTCTTCCTCAAA